TCTGTTGCGGTCATAAGGAACACTTTTCCTAGATGCAATTATGCTGTTTCATTGAGGCTACTTCTGGAAGAGGCTGTGTCACACGAGGACATAAGAGAAATTTGGAATTAAGCTCATGGTTGGGGCGTTCAAAGGATTTAGAGAGAGAGAGATGTGAATTACTGAGCTGGGATCTTGGTTTCCCTCTAAACCTACTTGCAAGAAAGGACCTAAAATTCATCGGATTAATCTTTGAGAAGCTTTTCAATCACTGAATTTGATGAGATTCCAGCAAAGGATGAGCACTGAACCCTGTAATCTTTAAGATCCCCTCCAATTCTGTGATTCTCTATTTTGGAAGAAAATAATCTTGTAACTCTTTACTCAAAACTCAAACGCTAGCTCTTGTTTCCACTCAGTGATTTATGTCCTTCTGTCCTTCATCACAGTACTGAGTGTTTGATTTAGTTCTATTTGAATTTCAAGAAAACAGTCTGCTTTGAACCAACAAAAACAGCTTGTCCTCCTTATCAGCTAGGGAAAGTTCTAGTCTGTTTTGGTGACCAGAAAAGTGACGGTAGCCTTGTGGGATGTGACAGAGAGAGAGGGAAGTGCCGCCTAGAAGCAGAGGATGACCCTTTCCCTTCTGAGTGTGAGAATTTTCTGGCTGGATGCTGGAAGGTTTCTCAAATGCTGTTTCCATCTCTATGGCTCTGAACATGTCCAGTTATAAACTCTGTGCTCAGAATGGAAGACAGGACAGTAACGTGACCTGGTTCAATAGATCAGGAAATTATATTAGCACTAGAATGACTAACATGAGGAAAACAGAATTTGAGAAAAGATGCTTCAAGTGAATGTAGAACAGTCAGCTAGAGTTGCGACCAGGTCATCCAAACTAGTATCTGAAAGCAGTGTTGGGATTGTTGGAAAACTGAGGCTCTCGGTCTGACCTTGCCATGGACTGGCCATGAAACCTTGGGAAGAACGTCTTCCATCTCTGGGGCTTGGTTTCCTCATCCATAAGACACGGTGTTGTTGCAGTTAAGTTACCTAATATTTATGTAGCTCTCTCTATGTCCCAGGAACCGAGGGAAGTGATTTTTAAGGCTCTCATTTGATTCTCTGAGACTTGGGCCATGGAAACTCTCAAGGAGAGTGAGGAGGGGCCACATGTGAAGCAGCTTCTGCCTCAGCCGTTGGCCTCCCTGGGCCCCCTGGATCCACATGGCATCTCCACCACCCTCTCTCCCTGCAGGTCAAGGGATTCAGGAATGCAGAAACGGAAACCGGCCCGGAGAAAAGGCATTTCAGACTTGATTCGGTAATTTTCTTTCTTTAGCCTGTGAAGATCTATTTCTGGGGCTGAAGGAGACAGTGATTGTAAAATCCGAAAAGACTTAGGAAATATCTGGCCGGGCCTGCAGTTGGAAGGAGCCATACTGAGTGATGAACGGGATGGAATGGCCCTGAGGTCTGGAGCCCAGAAGCAAATAGAAGCAGGGGTTGCGCTACCTCTTAACCTGGAGCTCCAAGGGCAGGACCCACTTTTCAGGGCTCATCTGTCCAGAATGGGTTGGATCAAGTGCCCAAGGAGACAGTGGAGTGCTTTCAATCAAGCTCTGACAGCCCCCTCCAGCCCAATCCTATTAGGTAATGAGGGGGATTTTTTTGGTGGGGGGATAGATGAGGAACAGTTTAGCATCATCTTTACATGAAGAAAAAACTCTTGGTGTTAATTTGATTTGGGAAGGTAGAAAATGTTAAAGCAACTGATGAGCTGTGGTTTATAAAACTCTGTCACAGAATCATTTAATCTGGTTTCTGCATTGGTGGTCATGGCAGAGCCCTCACTGGTCTGGGATTCAGGAAATCTGTTTTTTTTCCTGGCTCTATCTACCCACTAACTGCAGCCTCTTCATTTAAAAAAGTGCTCAGACACTTTTTAAAACAATCTCTGTTCTGTCTGGCGCATAAGGTTGTTGCAAATCAAATGAATTTGTGTCTACTGGAAGCTGGAAATGGTCAGTAGCAATCAGATATAGGGTATTGTGCATTAGAAGGATAGCTCATCTGTCAAAATAAGCCTCAAGTTAGAAACAATTGGTATTTCAGGAAAGGTTCACAACTCTTGAATGTCCCTTCATGATTATGGGCAAGGATAGAAACACCAAGAGGAGGAGGGGATATCAGATGGTGGTTGCAGAACCATTTCTTTCTGAATCACCTTTTGTTCCTTAGAAAATGGAGAAACAGACCCCAAGTTGGCAATATCAAGAAAAAGAGGCGTGGCCAAATTATCCTCTGATCACGTGACCTGGACTTTCTGAGCAACATTAAGTGAACTTACATTAAACTTGAGCGCAAGAAGCTCGTGCAGAAATCAGAGAGCACAAGGAAGCTTGCCGGTAGGTCAAGGTCATTTCAGGTTGTGGGAACAGCATGGAAGCCAAGAGAAGAAGATGCCCAAGGGAAGACCATCTGGGTGTTTGGAGGCTGAGAGTAACGTGTAGCTGTTTAAGGATCCAAATCACTTTAGATAAATAGTAAATGGAGGACACATTACATTATGTCTTTCCACCCTCGGAGAAGCTCAGAACTGAGAGCTAGCTCATGGTGGGGAACTTGGCTTGGGAGGCTGAATAATGTGGTCTCCACAGAGATGTCCACATCCTACTCCCTGAAACCTGTGAATATGTTACCTTATGTGGCAAATGGAGCTTTGCAGATGTGATTAAATGAAGGATCTTGAGATGAAAGAGTCTCTGGGTTATTGGGGTGGACCCAGCGTAATCACAAGGGTACGTATACGAGAAAGAGGGAGACAGGAGAGTCTGAGCCAGAGAGGGAGATGTGGTAATTGAAGCAGTGGTCAGAGAGAGAGAGAGGGGGGGATTTGAAGATCTGCTGCTGCTGGTTTTGAAGATGGAGGAAGTGGC